TGAACGAGAAGAGATGTGAGTTTGTTTTGACGCTTGCTTTTGCTTATTGCTTGTTGCTTATCTTCACTATTTCTTCTTTTCTCAGGTCTTGATATTTATAGCCTTGTGATAAATCTGCCCGTTGTTTGAATTTGAATGTGTCCGTTGAGGCAGAGCTTTCCGTTGGTGCAGATAGTCGTTCGTTCATGGCTACACATATCTTTTCCATTTAATGCGTTTGATCTTGCATTAAATGCTTGCTTGTTGAATCTGTGTTACATGAACTCCTTTGCATAATTTGTTCCCATTTATTTATGACTTCAATCATGACCTAGGTATGTTTGTCCTTTTTTCATCATTGTAGCTGTGGAGGTGTTGCCTTTTTCTGAAAAGTAGGTTACACGCGCAACTTTGACTTGTGAATTCGCGCTCTTCAATTTTTCTTCTTTCTTTTCATGTCTTTGATAACTCCGTGTGTTTTTCTCATGAATGGAGACAATATATGATCTTTTTCGTTATGACTAGTGGACTTCAGATGCTTTTCAACATGCTTCGTTTGCATCTGGAAATTTGAGTCTCGTCTGATCAGTTGTGAAGATGGATGACTTTTATTCCGTTTGGAATATTTCTTCTTCTTGTGTTATCCAATCGACTAATGCTTGTTTTGTTGACCTTTGTGTGGTTGACCATTGAGTTTCATCTGATGTTTATTTGGTGCTAAGACAACTTTGTCTAGGTCTAGTTTTGCTTTTGTTTCTGATTTCTTATGTTGTGCTCTGGATTGTTCTTGACATATCTTTGTTTGATATTCGTTATCGTCTAGTGCACAATTCATGATCCTTCTATCATTTGGCTTGATTTGTCTGATCCTTGTTTTGTTCAACCATGCTTCATGCTTTAGTTTTGCCTGTTCTTATATATATCTGAAACACTACTACACAGGTTAGTAATAACAATATGTATTATATTTGCCATATTCAAAATCTTGTTGGAAATTATTTCGTCTGACTCAACATTATCTTCTTTTCCACTAGCTTTACGAAAAGTAGTATTTAGTTTGAATCAAGATGTCCCAAATCCAGAGTCATAGCCAAGAACATTTTTATTTGATAGGAGTCTTCTAAGTTTCAAAAACATGTTTAGTTTAGAAGACCCATCAACAAATTTAGCCATATACCTTCTATGTTGTACATCGTCAACTTTTAATGTTGTAACCTTAAATGGGACACTACTAATGATCTTTTCTTTGAGAGTTTGTATCTCTCTTGCAACGTTTGACATGTATATCTCCAGTTTATCATTTACATTTAAGATAGATCTTGTGAGAGTTTGCAAAGAGAGTCTCAAAAAGACATCTTTTCCTCATCAAAATCAGATGAGTAGGAGTTAGAATCAAAATTTACCTCAATTTTTGGATTGTCTAATTTAGAGTCAGCATCTGCCAAGAAGTAGATGTTTGCTTTCTCTTGGTTTAAACTATTGCTACTACTATTGCCCAAATCTTCCCAAGGGGCCATTATACTACTATTGCCCAAATCTTCCCAAATCTTGTTATCATTCTGGCTAGGCTTCTTGAACATGTCCTTCTTCTTCTGGAAGCTTTTCAATCTTTATTTCTTTTTCAATATGTCTTTGAACTTCTTAGACATGAGAGATATCTCATTGTTTGTCGAGTTCTTAGAATTATCATCTAAGCTATTGGGATTAGACTCAACCTTTAGAGCTTTTTATTTATCTCTTCTCTTGTTGGTTTCACCACTTCTCAAAGCAAGTGATTCGTTAGCTCTAAAAATTTGTTAGTTAGAAGCATGAGGAGCTAGGTTCAATCCTCATTGCGACCATCTTTGTAATCTTTCCTATCTTTACCAAAAAAAAAGATTAGCAACTTGTTGGTTTACATTCAATTGTTTTTAATTATTTATTTTTGTTTCATTTAATTTTATATTAGAAATATATGGAGTTTTTTTACTCAAATAATATTATTTTAAAAGATTTTACTCAAATAACAACTTTGTAAATTTATTTCCCCAACTAGCATCATTTACTATTCAAGTTCAGAACATACTATTTTGAAACCAGAAAGGGTCATTCCAGATTAAAAAATAACACATGACGAATGGATCAGAACGGGCCGTTCCGGATTCAAAATTAGCACATAAAAAGTGGAACCAGAGCGGGTCGTTCTGAAATTGAAACGGGTCATTTTGGCCTATAAATAATTTTTTTTTTTGTTCGATTTTCACTTATCAAATACTAAAACTCAGAAACTAACATCAAATAATTAAATTTATTGAATATTAACATTATAAATATAATTAAATAAATTTATTAAAATTCAATACAACAATAAAGATCAATGGTGGCTGAACTTGAATTCATGACCAATATTTGGATATGTCTTCCTAGTGTGACCAGGGGTGTGACCATGCGAGCAAGGGATATGAAAATATAAAATAAGAAAGAAATAGGGTCACTTCTACAACAACTTTTTAATATAAACTTTTATATATTAAATACGAATCTCTATTTTATGCAAAAGTATTTTTAGGGATTTTTCTTCGCCATGAGAGTTTGTAAGGGTTTTTAACTTCTTATATAATTTTCTTTTTATTTATTATAATTATTTATAACTTAAATATTAATATTTTAATAATTAATAAATAAAAATAATTTTTTGTTA